CCCCCTCCTGGCTCCCCTCCAGGTCCCCCATCTCCAGCCTCTCGCCCACAAGCATCATTTCTAAAAGACTAGGAGCACTAAAAACCAAAGTATGGTGCTGACATACAGAAGAGGCTCAGTTAGTTGAATCCATGAAAGTATGAGTAAATAGTGTTTTGCAATTGTGACTATAAAAATACTCAATTTCATGAAACCTAGCATTCAACACATTCCCAAGGCCTACTAAAGCCTGTGTACCAAAGTGATGAGTTGCCAAATAATTCTGCCAAAGCAAGTCATTTAAGTGTTATCTAAGCTTATGTACTGTGTACACAAAAGCTTGAACTGATATTTAAAGCTTGCTATGACTCTGGAATGGAGATTCCAAAATGGCCCTCAAAAGAGAATGTAGCTTAAGATCCAGATGAAAATTAAAAAGATAAAATGGTTTGCTTCTGCAATTTGGCATTTAAAAAAATAATTTATAAAATTAGAACTTTGTAATTGCTTTCTAGCACAGGAATATTCTTAAGACATACCTACCAATTAAATGCTTGAAAGGTAGTTGATGATCTCGAAGGTTCAGGTGCGCAATATGTCCAACTCTGCTAAACCCTGAAGTCACATCTTGACCTTCAGGAAGCACAGCTCTCAAGATTTCTTCTGACTTAAAGTTTTCATAAGTTAGTTCCAAATTATATTTAGATATCTGTGGACTGACATTAAGCTGCTTTAAAATACTGAGTTCTGCTTCCTCAAAGGAATCATTAGTCAATATTTTATAGGGATCCAACATAATTAGTCTACTTTCTTCATCTTCTGGATCTTCAATCACACGTTTTATGCCCGGTCTCTGCAGTGCTGCCCTTTTAAGGGATCGCATCAATTTATTGACAATTTCTTTCCTCACTTTAAGCACTGGGATAGTGACTATCTTGTTAAAAGCTGTTCTATCAAGTGTTGTCATTCCTCGAACATCAGAGGGTGGGGAAAACAATTCTGAATCACTTTGACTTGTTTCTATTTCAGGCATGGTTGAGAATCTTTTTCTTTGATCCAGCAAGAAAATACCAGGTGCTTTGCTAAGTTTCTGTATCAGTGATGTCCAAGCTAATGGGATCAATGATTCTGATTCAGTTATTCTACAGCTTTCCACTTTGAGAAGTCTTCTTAAGAATCCAAATGGCCTCCAGAAGATCCTAAAAAAGTATTCATTTAAAAATCATAAAGCTACAAGCCAACTTACATGTGCACAATAGGTTTTCAGAATGAAAATCTAAATTCTGTTTTACATAACCTGCTAAATGCTATTAATTAAAACTTTTAGTGGTGTGTGAGTATACGTACCATCTTTTCCAGGGCAAAATGACTTTTATTAGTGGTAAATAACAAATTTGCACCTTCACCCCACCTGTTGTCAGAAGGAGGGCTTAGTGATCTATCCACCTCCTATACTTAATGAACCTCTCCACCCACAGTTTGCTACAGAATACATTTAAGACTGAGATTTGAATTAAGGAATCATCTCTAAATGAAATGGTCACTATATTCATGGCTTTACCAATAGCAATATTTCCTAGGATATTATTGTGGTTGCTTATTGTGTCAGATGCTAAGCTAAATGCTTTACACACATCCAACTTGGGAGGCTTGTGGTATCGCATCTTCATTTTTTAAAAAGTACATTTTATTGATTTTTTACAGAGAGGAAGGGAGAGGGATAGAGAGAAACATGGATCAGCTGCCTCCTGCACACCTCCTACTGGGGATGTGCCCGCAACCAAGGTACATGCTTTTGACCGGAATCGAACCTGGGACCCTTTAGTCCGCAGGCCAACACTCTATCCACGGAGCCAGACTGGTTAGGGCGCGCATTTTCATTTTATAAATGAGTAAACTAAAGCTCATAAGTAAGTTAATTCACTCAGTTTCCTTGCGGGTAAATGGCTGAGCAAGGATTAAAACCCAGGTCTGAGTTTAGTGCCTGTGTTATTCATATACTGCAATGTTACCTTTGATGCTTTATTGCCCCAAGCCCTGCCTATAACGAGGTTTTGGTATTTTGAGGACAGGATTCTTTACTGAGTGTTATATACACATGCCATTAAGAGTATCGGTTACTGTCCTGCGTGGAGTGGCTCAGTGGTTGAATGCTGACCAGTGAGTCAGGAGGTCACACAGCTGATTCCCGGTCAGGGCACACGAGGGCTCGATCCCCAGTGTGGGGCATGCCTGAGGCAGCTGATCAACCATTCTCTCTCATCATTGATGTTTCTCTTTCTCCCTCTCCTCTCCTCTCTGAAATCATATATATATATATAATATATATATATACACATATATATACATATATATATATATAAAATTTCCACTTTGCCTTCTTGAATAATAAAGAAGTAATTGTAAGAGGAACGGGTCCTGCCCCCAACCCTGTAAAACAAATGTCAGACTTCACAGCCAGGGTTCAAATTGGGTTGGTCCAGCAGTTAACCAGCTGTGTGGTCCTGCGTCAATTACTTAATAAGTCTGGCTTCCCCTATATAAAATGTGGCTACAGGGCCTATCAGAAAGCTTTTGAAAAGAATAAACCGTTCCTCACTACCCGGCACTCGAACCTGGGCTCAGCACTAGGGCTGAAAATGGGTGACCTCGCGACGTTTAGGCGCCCGGTCAGACAGGTACCGCAGGCGGACCCTCAGCCCCTACGAACTAAAAAAGGCCCCGCGGCGGCCACCTCCCCAAGGTCACCACCTAATTCGTGGTGTCGCTCCGCATCTGGCTCCGCGACTCAGGTCCCTCACCTCATGCTCTGGTGCAGCTCGGAAATGGGTCGCTGGTGCGTGGGTTGGCTCTGGATGACATCATCACTGCTCGCCGCGAGGAGAAACGTCATCATATCGCGCCGATTCCCTCCGATCTCTCGGGCCTTGTGGAGGACCGGGAACCCGGAAGGGCCGGGCCTAAAGCTCCGCCTCTGGCGCGACTGACGACGGGAGGGCAGGGGTAGTAGCTCCCAGATGGACCTGGTCGTTGGCCAGCGAGCATCATGGAGGCACCCTGGGGAGTCATCAACGTCCAGCCGGGCTGCTACGTCTCTTCCCAGCAGCCCGAGGAGGCGGAGGCGCAGGCAGAAGAGTTGAGCCCGTTGCTAAGCAACGTAAGTTGGCTCCGCTACCCTCTTGGCGCTGCCTGCCACCCGGCTCCCCTGAAGTGCCTGCCAAATAAGACCGGGAAAAGAAGGGGGTGGCACGGGAGAGGGGCGTGGGCCGTGGGGCCAGAGGCAGCAGTAGAGATTCAGATTCGGCGGCGTGCATCCATGTGAGAGCACCCTAAGTGCCCTAGGAAGAGAAGCTGACTCCAGGCGCAGGCGGGACACGTACCGCGGGATACGCGCCGGAGGAGCAGCCCTTGGGTTAGGTAGCTCGGTGCTGTTCCTAGTTGTCTTTGTCAGCTTCCCGTTTCCCCCACCAGTCTTGTGAGATTTTTGCAAGAGTCACAAGATTTTTCTTTTCTTGACTTAGTCATTGGTGGCCTGTAAACATCTTAACACAGAGATCCTTAACTGTAAAGAGTGGAGGTGGTCCGGTAATAAGTACATAACACTTTCCTGACCCTGAAGCCTGTGCCATGGGTTCTCGGCATTTTAACTCAAGTCCCTGAATTAACAGATTCTAGGACTTGTTCCCAAAGGCTATTTTGGGGGTGGGTGTTTTCAGAAATATCCTCAAGAGCAAAATAAATTGCTGATTCTACCGTCATTGCAAGGTATTCTTGACCATACTTCCAGTTGGGTGGACTTAACTCATTAAGTAATACAAATAAAAATTAGCCCTAGCCGGTTTGGCTCACTGGGTAGAACGTCAGCCTGCGGACTGAAGGAAGGGTCGCAGGTTAGATTAGGGTCAAGGGCTCCTACCTTGGTTGGAGGCTCTATCCCCAACTCTGTTCAGGGCGCATGCGGGAGGCAACCAATCGATGTGTCTCTGGAGTTTCTTTTTCTCTCTTTCTTCTCTCTTCCACTCTCTCTAAAAAAAAAAAAATCAATGAAAAATATCCTCGTGTGAGGATTAACAAAACAAAACAAAACTTAGTGTTGCCCTACTAGTAATTGGGGAACAACAGTTGTGTACAGCAGCCTCAAGCTGACTCAGGAAGTCTGCAGGAATCACGAGCTGAGGCCATCAGCCTGCTCTCCCTCCCCGCTCCATTCCAATCCTATCCTAATCTTTTGCCATCAGATTAATCACGCTCTTCCTGAAGCCTACCTGGCTTCTGTACCGGTGGAGATGATTCTCCCAGGAAACTAGATTCCTGGAGCTGCTGGTGGGAGGTGAGAAGGGAAGGAAAGGAAAGCAACTAGTCCTGACCGGGCAGCTAGTGTGTCACACAATGCTTGTGGTCCTGCAGATAACCTGTCAGTCATTTCTCGATGAAACTTGAATTCACCATGCAAACATTTAACACTATTAAATTTGGGTGCTTACAGGAACTTCACAGACAAGGATCCCCAGGTGTTTCATATGGTTTCTCAGTGTTTAATTTGATGAATGCCATCATGGGAAGTGGCATCCTTGGCTTAGCTTTTGTTATGGCTCATACTGGTATCCTTGGATTTAGGTGAGTTTTTTTTTTTATTATTTTACCATTACTTTCCCCACCCTCCCCCCTCCATTTGGATAGTACAGTAAGACAAATGAGATAGACTCCAGAAGCTGGTGTTATCCAATTTCTAATTAAGTTATTTCTGGGATTTTAGCATTTGTTGTTGTTGTTGCTAGTCTGTAGCTTGGAGGAATGCTATATAATTTGCATTTTTAAAATCCAAAAGTGTGGCTAATTTAAAAAAATGGGAGACTTGATCTACACTAGTTTATGACCTTAAGAAGTGACTTATTTGTTGTGTCATGTTGGCCAAAGTGAATCAAGATTTATCAGCCATGCAGATTACTTATAAATAGCAATTTTGTGAGTGTAAGTAAAGCACATAATCTTCTCATTGCTGTCTAACTCCTCCTGTCCTCCCACTGTTAAGTAGTCTTTTTCCTTTCCGAGGCCAGATGTGGTCTGTGCCTATTTCTTTTCATCTTTCAAGACTCTGCTCATACGCCAGTTTGCCCAAAATAAAAGACATTCCTAGCTTTTCTGTGCTCCCATAGTACTTTGTATATTCATTTTGTTATTATCATTTAATATAATGATTTGTTTGCAAATTAGTTTCACCACTAAACTCTTAAATCCTGTAGAACTAAACCTTATCTTTAGCATCTAGCACCAGGGTTGGTAGAATGAACATACTTGTTTTGTCAGTAGAAGAAGATCTATTTTACTAGTAAATTTAAAATATTCAGTGTTATTTAGGTGTTTTAAATTATTCTTTATTTCATTTTTTATTTTTCAAATAATAAAAGGAAGTTTATTTAGCCCAGCCAGTGTAGCTCAGTGTTTGAACATTGACCTATGCACCAGGAGGTCATAGTTTGATTCCTGGTTGGGCACGTGCCCAGTGTGGGCGTGCAGGAGACAGCTGATCAATGATTCTCTCTCATCATTAATGTTTCTATCTCTCTTTCCCTCTCCCTTCCTCTCTGAAATCAATTAAAAATATATATATATTTTTAAAAGAAAGTTACAGAGGAAGAAGTAGTGAGCCAGATGGGCTGTGTAGGCTCAGGAAACAAGTTACAGAGACAAAAGAGGGCCCCTTGGAGCTTAGGAGAGAGAAAGGCAAAGGTAATGCACCCGGGGAAAGAAGAGGGGAAGAAAACCCCTCCTCCCCCCAGTGTTCCCTAGGTTATTTTTATTTTGAATTTCTTGATAAGCAAACCAACTTTTAAGTAACTCAACTTGTTTTTATTATGGGAGGTATTCATCGCAAACTTTATAACTTTAAAACTTCAAAATAGGAAAAAGAGTCATAAAAGGGAAATATTAAAAGATTATTGAGTGGCTGAACCATCAGTCAGTAAACAAGAATGCTAAAATAGGAAATTCGTTTTTACTTTAAATAAAGCTTGTTTCTTTCTGATTTTTTTTCCTAGTTTAAAAGCAGTATATTTTCACTTAAATAAAATTTGGTAAATACAGAAAAGTATCTTCTTACTTTCTTCAGTGACCATAACCCAACTACTCAAAGATAGTCTCTATGATTCTTTAAAAAAATTATTGTTGTAAGAGATACGGTAAAAAACCTTTTTTTGTACCCTTTTGTATTTTAGTTTTTTGCTGCTGATAGTTGCTCTTCTGGCTTCTTTCTCAGTTCATCTCCTGCTTAGTATGTGTATTCAGACAGGTGAGTAAAAACATTATGCTGATCCATTTGATGAAGCAGCCCCTTGAGATTGTATTCACGTATAAGATTGGATGTCTCACATCTGATTTCCACTGGGCATACATTATTACCAGGCAGTGTGGTTGAAATGGAGAATTTCAAAAGGCCAGGATATATAGAAACAGTTCTGTTGGGCAATATCTAAGGACAGGATGGGAGGAGGAAACTAGCATTCTTACCTGCCTTTCACCACAACACAACATAGTTTTCTGGGTTAGAGGACATTGTGGGAAGCACCACAAATGAGTTCAAAGGATCCAAATCTCATGCTAATGGGGAAGCAATAGACAAGGGTTCATTCTGATCACATTTCTAGGGTGATCATTTCCTCAAGGAGCACACCTTTCAGATCTACTACTGCCTTCCCTGCCTCCTCTCTGTCTGCCGGAATTAAGACTGTAGGAGAAAAGGTCACTAAGCTTTGGATTTATTTAAATGGTTTGTATTTTTACTTGCAGTCTAGAATAAGGTAGTTTTTATAAGTGACAGCTGCATATGCAAAGACTGTAGGAGAAAAGGTCACTAAGCTTTGGATTTAAATGGTTTGTATTTTTACTTGCAGTCTAGAGTAAGGTAGTTTTTATAAGTGACAGCTGCATATGCTATTAATACAATATGTTTATGTGTGTTTTTTCCATTTAGAGAACTTTATCATGCAATTCAGTATTGAATACGTTCTTTTAACTTCTAATAAAAAATACAGTAAATGAATTACAGAACTGCTTTTATAAGATTTTTCTTTTGGCATTAACAGATATTCCATGTTCATCAATCCTGGTCTTTTTATCTGTCTAGTCTCTTTGTCTTTGGATTAGGTCAATTATGATGCCAAAATCATGAGATTAATATCTATGTGGGTGAGTTCACTTTGTTCTAGCTGGTCTTGTAGTTTTCAGATTTTAAGAAGCATAAGAGATACATAAAATAAATAAAAATGGAATTATTCTGACTGGAATATGTGAGAACTACCCAAAGGTATTTCGTGAGAATTTTAAGACTCTTTAGAACACAGTTCTAAACCCATAGCTATCGTCTATTTTCCTAAAATCTGTCAATGCCTCAGACACACCTGCAGATCTTTGTATAGACAGACATTTCTAAGAATCTGAGGTGGGATTCAAAAAAAAAATTTTTTTAGAAGTTCTCCAGGTAATTCTTATGCAAAACTGGTTCAGGATCCATAGTTCATAGCAGTAACTGTGCTAATGCCTTTGACCATCCAACCTACAAGTGTATGCCCCTGCTTTCAAGGGGATTGGGCAAAAGTACAGACAGATAAAAAGGCTAGGAAACAATGCAAATGTTAATCTCAAAGTAACAAGTTGTTCATAACAGCATCTCAAATTCAGGAATAATTGCATTAAAAGAAGTATATTTGTAAATCCTCCTGCAACCTGACTAGAATTTTAATGATGTATTTTGAAATTGTTATTCTTTTTCTGAAAAACTTATTTTTGCTTGATTGTGGTAGTTACCTAATACATTCATATTTTATTATGGATTCTACTAAAAGATGAATACCTTAAAAAATATGTTTTTATTGATTTCAGAGAGGATGGGAGAGGGAGAGAGATAGAAACATCAATGATGAAAGAGAATCATTGATTGGCTGCCTCCTGTCCACACTCCACTGGGGATCGAGCCTGCAACCCAGGCATGTGCCCTGACTGGGAATCGAACCGTGACCTCCTGGTTCATAGGTCAATGCTCAACCACTGAGCCACACCAGCTGGGCAAAGATGAGTATCTTAATCAACTATGTGACAATTATGTTTTCACTAAAATTTTTTGTTTTATTAATTTCACTTACTTGGGAGTAATATTCAGTTTATGAAGATTTCCAAGTAAGGCTAAATATGCTGTTCTCCTTCAGTTAATCAATATTTAACTTTAAAATTCTGATACTGTTCTTTTCTATAACTTTGGGGCATATAAAGTGAAAACCTCTGTTTTTCTTTCTTTTTCTTTGATTTTTTTGTAGCTTTCTTGGTCTGTGAACTAACTTCATGGTTCTTCATATACACTGATGCACCTTGCACCTGTCTTCTGTTGATTGAATTCCTTCAGTCATTGTAAAATTCTCTGTGGAGGTAGGCTTTAAAAATATATACATATATACTAGAGAATAACATGTAGATAAATTTTCTCCTCAGTTTACTGAACTACTATTAAGGAGTATTGTGCTTAGATAGAACTCATTGGTCAGAGAAAGCATTATGGTAAGTCTTTACAAAATAACTTCTTTATGTATTTGCATGGAGGTAAAAGGTGAAGAGAAAATTTTATCTTTACAAAAGTAAAGGACTCCTTCATATGAAATTCTGCTGTTTTAGGTTTTATATAAGGTTTGGGTTCCATCAGGACTTTTCTTGGGAGCTAAGGTAGCAGCATATAAGGCATTTTAATCTCTTTAGCCTTAGTTTGTCATCTATAAAATGGCAATGATAAAAATTTCCTCTTGGGATTGTTGTGAGAATGAAATAAAATGATATATATAAAATGCCAGGTCCTTGGTAAATACTAACTTTTACTATTATGAGTTCTCATTGGAGCAGAACCCTTAAGGATTTTTAACTGTGCTGAGAAATAGTTGACTTATTGCGATTCTTTGGAAAATTTCTATGCTCTGGGAATAAACTCATAGTCTCCCCTCTTCTGGCTTCCATATCCTTCTCACCAGCAGGGAATGAGAGTTTTAGAACTCTGCATGCTTTTGGTCAAATCCCTACTCCCTAGTCCTCAATCCCCACTACTCACTTAATTGTTACCAATATTTGCCTTGACATCATTTGGATAATTACATTATACCATTTATCTCAATTTCTAATCAGTCACCACAAGAATCCTAGGTTAGCCTGGCCGATGTGGCTCAGTGGTTGAGCATCAACCCACAAACCAGGAGGTCATGGTTTGATTCCCAGTCAGGGTTTGATTCCCAGTTCTAATCAGTCACCACAAGAATCCTAGGTTAGCCTGGCCGATGTGGCTCAGTGGTTGAGCATCAACCCACAAACCAGGAGGGCATGGTTTGATTCCCAGTCAGGGTTTGATTCCCAGTCAGGGCACATGACCGGTTTGCTGCTCTATGCCCAGTTGGGGGTGTGCAGGAGGCAGCTGATTGATAATTCTTTCTCCCTCTCCCCTCCTCTCTCTGAATCAATAAAAACACATTTTTAAAAAAAGAATCCTAGTTTATCCTTCATTTCCCAGACTCATCCCATATAGCTCTGTTAACCGTATTCTAACTTCATCTCCCACTCCTCCCAAACTCCTGAAACTTTTCCACTTTGCTCTCAAGAATTTATGGTCAGTCAGCAGCAAAACTGTCCTCAGTTTTTCTCTAAACATTTCCTTCACTTTCTTACTCTGAGAGGACCTAAGTCTTTTTTGAGGACACTGTAGTGCTCTCAGGTAGCCACTCTCTTCTCTCCCATGTCCCTCATACTAGTCTGGAGATGACCCTCCAGAATCTTGGGGAAAATGATTTCATTATAGAATTCTGTACCCAGCCAAATTATCATTTAAATGTGATGATAGAATAATGACATTTTTTATACATGCAAGGACGCAAAAATTATCTACCACGCATCCTTACTTAGTGAGCAATGAAAGATGCCATTTACCAAAGTTAGGGAATAAAAAAGAAACAGGGAATCTAGCACAGGAGAGAAGTAAAGGTAATTTCCAGGACAACAATTGAACAGCACATCTAAGAGCCACCCCCAGATGGGAGTAGTTCTTTTTACATAGGCACCGTCAGCCCTCCAGGCTTGCCCTCAGGATGTGTTCAGGATAGAAACCCTTTTCTTTTTCTCTTCCTGAAGGGAATGCCCTTCTCATTTATCTGTCTAGCTCCAATTTGGCTCACAGTACCTGAGTAAGTTAACTTCAGGCCTGACCATTTCAAAGGAGTGAGAATCAAATAGTGGGAGATAGATACAAGATATCAAGGGGAATAAAAGAAAGAAGCAGGCTAAGCAATGTGGGAGTTATAGTTGAGAGGAGCTGAAGTTTGAATGAATGTGGAAAGTAATGGAGAAAGAGATGTCTAAGGATATCTCTCAGATTTCTGGCATGGGCCACTGGGTCATTTATAGAAGATAAGAACTCAGCAGAAGGTGTTGGTTCAAAATAAAAATAAATTCCGTTTTGGATATGTGGACTTTGAAGTATATCTAGATGGACAGGTCCTAGAACATAAGCCCAGAATAGAGGTTAATTTATTCATTCAATACTCTTATCTACAGAGATAAATAAGACTCACTTCCCTGTAAAAGCTTATCTATAATAATAAAAGTGTAATATGCTAATTAGACCGGACGTCCTTCCAGACGACCTTCCAGATGAAGCCAGGGCTACGAGGGCAAATTTTGTGCATCGGGTCTCTAGTAGTCTTATAATAGGGGAGACAAATGCTTATAGTCTAATAATAGGGGAGCAAATAATTTATAATATAGTATGATAAATGTAACAATTCAAATATGTGCAAGGTGCAGTGATAACTCAGAGGAGGGAGTGATCTGCCTTGTCTGGGGTGGGGACTGAGGGTCAGTAAATATTACTGGAGGACTGAGCTAACAAGGAATTTGATTGGCAGACAAGGCAAGAGAGAATACAAAGGTACAAAGGCATATACTGCATATTTTACTTACGGTACAAAAAATAGCTTACTATTATTCATGGATAAAGTATACAGAAGAAAATGAAACTGAAGAGACAGGCAAGTGTCAGATCCTAAAGAATTTGGAGTTGTAGTTGAGGCAGTGAAAAGGCACTGAGGTGTTTGAAAAGAGTCAAGGTAGCTCTGCCGGTGGGGCTCAGTGGTTGAGTGTTGACCTATGAACCAGGAGGTCATGGTTTGATTCCTGGTCAGGGCACATGCCCGGGTTGTGGGCTTGATCCCCAGTGTGGGGCGTGCAGGAGGCAGCCAATCAATGATTTTCATCATTGGTGTTTCTATT